AAAAAAAAAAAAAAAAAAAAAAAAAAAAAAAAAAGGCAACTTCTCCCTAATCCCCATTTTGAGATTATGAAGTTTTGGCCTGGAGATATCAAGACAAACCTAAGCTACTTTTTCAGACTATGAACATCCTCTAATGTTCACGGATGAATTAGAGAATTGGTTGGTATGAAACCTCATGTCACTTGAGTGGAAATACAAGGAGATGGTGCTCAATGCAGTCCACAGTTAGGATCTCCAGAGAGACCACCCTACTCTTCAGAAGCTCTGGAGATTTTTGAAACACTTATTCATTCCTAGCAGCTTCTGCTGGTAATAGAGAAAGCCCTCAAATAGTGGAACTTGATTACTGAAACAAAACTGCAAGGATTACAGAGAGTTTTAATAATACCCTACTTGATTCTGGGACAGCTGAGCACCTCACTTGTGAATAACAAATTACCCTTAAAAGACGGAGGAAGGGAACTAAACCTTGGTTCTGCTCCTGTTTTAGGGGTTTGCTCCATCTGGCACTGGAACAGAAAGGCCAACTGCCCCCAAAGTGTATGGATGAAGATACAAAGTATGTGTCACCACTTGTTTAATTTTAAGCTGGTTGGATTTATGGGGTATCTCCTAAAATACATTAAGTGCTGAACTGATTGTATTTGTCCATTTGAGTCGGTTTAGTGCCCACACTTAGTCTCTGAGTGCAGAGCTTTCAGTAGTTCTGCTTGAGGCATGGCAGCAACTTCTAATCATGTTCTATAGCATAATAAGAGTGGTGGGTTGGGGGTGTGTGTGGTACACAGCCTGGCAGGATTACCCACACAAGTTACTGTGCAGTAGCATGGTTATGTGTGAGGCAGCAGTCCCAGCACTATGATGGGCCTTGCGTTAGTCCCAGGAACTTGTTCCTTGCGGGAAACTTCCATACCAGCACTGAGAGAAAGGCAAGCCTGGAAATAGGGAGTACAATGTGGGAAATGTGGCAGAAGAGGTAGAAGACATGATGTTCCTGGAATAAGAAGGTAGGAATAATTGTGTGAGACCCAGGTTTAGGGGGTTTGGGGATGGGAAGAAGCATCTTTGTTCAGCTGTGCCCATTTGGTCTGGATTTCTCTTTGCTGTAATGTGCAGCCATCCACACATGAATGAATCCAAGAGGTTGGTGGAATGGTAAGCAGCTGGAAGAGGGCTTTATCTGAATTTATTTTGTCTTTTAAGAAATAACAAATGCTTTACTTATACCGCTCAGAAAGAACAGTTGGAGATAGGTCTCTGGTGCTCCGGGTTTCTCCCAGTGACTAAGGAGATCTTGTGGAGAAACAGTACCCTGCACTTGAATCTCCAGCTTGTGAGCGCATGCATGAGTGTTACATAGGTCACTACTGTCCAACTGTGACATTGAACTTGAAGGTGGAGGGGGAGGCAGTCTCAAGAGCTGCCTCTTCCGTTGTGAGCCGTGTGGTTCAAGGTCATAGGTCTCACTGTAGGACTGCTTTTCTCTACCATAGTGATGAGAAGGCATGCAGTGTGGTCCTGCCGCTGATCTTGCCCTGCTTCTACCCTGAGCTTTTCATGCTCTACATGCTCTACCACGAGAGAGAAGATGATCTGTACTGCCAAGGGATTGTGGACCTAAGTCTATTCCCCGACATCAAGCTCCTAGAGTTTCTGGATGTGCAGAAGTAGGTGACATTTTTTCATCCCAGGCTGCAGCCCCGTGACACCAGTTAGGAAGGTAGAAGCCAGAAAAAGCTTTGATGGCACGAGAAGAAAGGACATATAACCTGTTCCTGGGTCCATCATTGCCTGTAGCACTGAAGCTTTTCCTAGCCTGCCAGAGGATGTCCTGTCATGCAGTGCCTGCAGTTCTGTCTGGAAGGACAACACTGACTAGTGGAAAGCTGCTATTATCTATACTCATTTTTCATTTTTGTGTAGCAAAAATCTTTTGTAGCTCACCAAACAAATGGTTTGCTCCAACTCAGGAGCAACCAGACAGAGTTTATAAATGTGTCTTAAGAATAACTATAGTCCATCCAATGGTATCTGCTATAACAATGTAGGCACACAGTCCCAAGACAGGAGCCAGATGTTTCCTTCATCCATTCCTGCAGCTAGATCCATCTTTGGAAGTGATATGTGAGGACCAATGACTCAGACTCAAGAGGCATGTGAGCTTTTCTAGCACAGCTCAAGGACTTAAGGAGGGTAGTAAGATGCCTAGAGTCTCAATTTGGCAATTTGATTCCTCAATTTGGCAATTTGATTTTTCAGTTTGGCAATTTGATTCAGTCTAGACTCAGTGAGAAGAATTGAATCTGAAAGAACCAAAACTCTCCAGTGTCTGGAGCCTCTGTGAGTAAAATGAACCCAGGTTAATAAGTCTAAGCTATTAATTCTTCCTATAGCAGTGTAATGAGAAGAGCAAACTCAGCCTCATGCACCTACAAGACTTTAGCATCACCTTAAATGAGGAGATAAAAACAGTCAAAACTGATTGAGGGTTGAGTTAAGACATGGACACCTGCCTTCTAAATGTTCTCTCTGTAATCTTCTTTCAGACACCTCTGGCCCCTGAAAGATCTCACCCTGACAACCAACCAGGTAAGAAATAGTGCTAAGACCTAGCTTCGGTGTGTTAGTGAGATGGCACTGGGGCTCGTGTTGGTGCTGGCTAACGATGGAGCTTCACCTAAGTAACCACAGGGCAGACTGTACTGAGAAATCAGACCTACATGACATGTGTTGATTAGTTATGGTCTGTAGTTACTGCGTAATGAATTTTCCATGGATGGGGATATGAGCTTTGCATAGGATGGCTTTATAATGCTCTGCTCGGTGATGTTTCAAAGACACTGGTGTTGCCTTCTGTTCTGGGCAGAAAACATGCGTATTAGGAGTCCAGCTGTGTGGTGGCTCTCAGAGAGATACTCTTACAGAGGCCCAACTCTTTGTCTTCCTTTCAGAGGCGGTCCCTTATCAAAGACAAGTGTTTCCTGTCTGCCACAGAGTGTTTGCAGAAGCTGATGTAAGTAGTTTTCCATCGCCTCCAAGCAGGGATTTTCTGTTTTCTGGGAAATGCCATAAATTTACACCTGTTCAAAAAAGCATTTCTACATCAGCCTGCAAGATTATTTAAAGAAAAGTTGTTTGTGGTATTATTTCTGTTGAAAAGTAACATCTATAGAAATCTTTTTTCCCCCCTAAAAAAATCAAGACAATATCGATCGTGTTTCAGTGCAACCCTCCTGGGGCTAATATCTCCCCTTAATTTTTCAGAGATATTCCTACGCAAAATCTGGCTTTAATGAAATGGAGTTCACTCATCTCAGTGTGCACAGCAAATTGGGTCTGGCTGTGATTGCCTGGTCATGAGAGAGCCCGTTGCTCCGGACACATGGAGCTACATGAGGGTTATCCTTCCAGTGTGGCACCCCAAGATGTTAATGTAGCAAATCAGAGTTTGATTTAAGAAGCTCAGCTTGATTTATTGGCTTGAAGTCCAGTCTAGGAGATGGTACTGCATTAACGAGTGGGAGGGAAGTTAAAGGGGAGCAGGGAAGTGTTGTGAGATCCATCAGACAGGAGCTCTCAGGTCCCTAAGTACACTAGTCCTGGTGAGAGCCTCCCCATGGAAGCCCATGCGACTTCTCTTCTGAGGAGGGCAGCACAGGCTATGTGTACCTTTGTAGGACGTTATGGGCAGAAAAAACAACCTTATAAATGTGACAACTGTTATTAGTCCCTTGGCAGAACTGCCCAAAGTGTTTTGTCCCATGCTTTGTAGCTTTTCTTTTAGGAACCAACTTATCTTAGTCCTGTCTAAAATGAAAGATTGGCAGTAGGGTGAGCAGGTCATACTCAGGACTTGGGAAGACTCAAGGTCCATCTGGATGATGTTACACCCAGGTGATGCCTCCTGGCACAATCTTCTTGACTCCTTTTTGGTGCAGCCATTTGAGATGATTGATGGACTTTATTTGTAGTGACAGTCTGCTCTGTATATATATATATATATATTTTTTTTTTTTTTTTTTTAAAGTTATGCTGCTTTATCTCTTTAGCTGTGTAGAGGAAGCATCTTTGACATGGCTGTTTTCATACTGACAGTACCACAGTGGATCCCCGGGAGAAGCTGGTGATCCTCCAGAAGACATATGAAGAGATAGAGAGCACAGTGTCCCGGGTGGTAGAGAAGGACTACAGGCTTCCCATGGATGACCTCTTGCCCCTACTGATGTATGTTGTATCCCGAGCAAAGTAAGTGGAAGCTTTTAATTTCCCAGTCCCGTTGTTGCGTGATAACCTCAGAGAAAGGATAGCCATGTTTCCAGGCCAGATAGTTTAAGTAAAAACTGAGGTTTGTGTTTTAACATGCTTTTTCCTGAGCTGTATTGGTGTTTCTTGTGTGCTACTGTCTGCCAGCTGTGGTGTGATGGTGTTGGCCATGATATAAAGTGCCTAGGGACTTCCTGAGTGTCCAACTCTTATCTGAGAGGATAATTCTGGGTTGTCATGGGAAATGCAGTCTTACCTGAACCTCAGATTCCTGTAGAAAATAGGAACATGAAGCCTTTGAAGGGCAGTTCTTGATGCCTTCAAGGCATCATTTATATATCATACATCTTCTATTGTCCATTCTTAATGGGGCACTGTGATTCAGGCTGGAGACTAAGAAGGTCTTTTACACTGATTATCTAGCACTTAAAACTTTCCTGTGTAGGAATGACTGCAAACGTAACATGTTTCTGCCAAAGACGCTCTGTCTGTGCTGCTTTCACTGTAACTGCAGGAACCTGCGTACAGCCAGTAGAATGAAACTGTAGGGTTTTTTTTCCTGGCAAACTTGAGTCAAAATCCTTGACTGACTTCCTGGATATGCTTGGTCTCCAAACAAGGGTGAAATGTTTAAACCTGGGGCCATGAAAACCAGAAGTGGTTGTTTGGTTTGGGTGGTGTTTTTTTTTTTTTTTTTTTTTTTTTTTTTTTTTTTTTTTTTTTTTTTTTTTTTTTTTTTTTTTTTTTT